AAAGCATTTTAAATTCAAGTCAAACTTATGACTAAATCCACCATTTCTAAAACTTAATTTGCTGAATTATTGTAAGTCATCGGTGCTTCGTGCGGCTTCGTGGCGAGTTATAATTCGAAAGTATATTCTCTAGATATTCACGCAATTCAGTGAAGTTTCCGCGAGCATTTAATGTAATTTATGAAGTTCCTCCGGCGCTAAGCGTGCTAGACGACGATTAATCGCAAAAACCTTTCTTTAGATTGAAAAAGCACAGTCCCCAAAGTTTGAAATCAATTGGAACTTTCTGTTAATCAGACAAAATTACATTGGCCGATGTCTCCCGGGGAAGTCTTTCTGAGGTCAAAAGTCCCATCGGGAACTTCCACGAGTAAATGCAAACTTCATTTCTTTTTTCACCTGTGATTTCGAGTGCACATTAAATTTTGATTTTCCACTCTAGCGCAGGATAAACTCGACACGCCGATACTATTGATTTTGCGAGAGAACAGGACAGAGAAAGAGAGAGCGGAAGAGAGTGCGTCAGAGAAAGTTGAGGGTAGGTGAGGTCAACCCTTTATTCAGGTAGGTTTTCGCCTGATAGATGGAGCCTGGGATATATAGTGGTCTTTTCCGGATTTATTCAGAGGGTTATCTTTGAGTACTGTCCTGCCACTTTCGTAACGACATAGCAATCGATATGTACTTTTAGCTAAAAGGTTGATATATCGTTCAAAGCTTTTATGAGGATAAGTCATTTCTAGCGTTGAATAAAGATCGATGCTATTCAATATTTTAAATTTTTTATTGTAGAATTCTTGGACATTGAATTTTTGTATCGTCATGTTAAAATAAACTGGTACGCTGATCATTAATAAAAATATCGAGTCACCCATAAAATTAATAAAAACATCAATCATCCTAATTACCATAGCAATTTTATATTGCTATTTTCATCTAAATATAATTATTTTTCATTATTCGTGTTCTTTGTTGCATATTAGATGCCATTATATGCAAACTGCACATTTTAATTAAGTTCAAATCTAATTATTTATAACAATTATGTAATATTATTATTAAAGAAAGGGCAATTTACATTTTTAATTCATTTCTATAATGTACCTCTATTGTAAATAAACGTTATTAAAAACTGAATCACTTAATCAATATCTGAAAATATTTATTAAATCGTTAACATAATTATTTAAAAAATTCATCTAATTATTAACATAATTATTTAAAAGATATTAACACAGAAAATTCTAAAAATTCAGCGAGAATTTATAATGTGTGTATCTCATTTATATATTATAATATATCTCTTTATGTAAAAAATATAGTTTTATCTTGATAATTCATCTATCGCTGAATGAATGAATTGAATTATAAGAGAATAAAATTTTAATATATATATAATTTCTCCAATTCATAAATTATTTCAGTCGCGTTTTATCTTGAAAGGTTTCATGCTCAGACAAACTATCTTCAAAAACTTCATTAAGTATGAAAGTTATAATACGCACACACACACATATATATATATATATATATATATATATATATATATACTTCTAAAACTAAGATATTAAAATATACATTATACCTTTCACTACATTTTCAAAAAGTCTAATAAAGAGATACAAAATTTCAATGCAAATGTTATTACTCTTTAGAAAATTATATTAAATTCTTTAATATACGTGAATAACTTATTCACGATGGTTTATTTTAACCAGATGTTCACGCGCCAAATTCTAAGTAAATTGCGCAGAACGTTTCGATGAAAGAATTTCTATAACGACTCCTTACTGTGATGCCTTGTGCGAATAAAGACACCCGAGGTTGACGCATATAAGATCATTATGCAAAAATAGTTCACTGAATGCCGCACTGCATGCTTTTCGATGCATTTCAACGCCAAAATTCTCATTCAACAGCGTTCTGCACCTCTGTCGTGATTCGTGCCATTTGATATTGTTTTATTGCTATCAATTTGTAATAATAGTATGCAATAAAACTAACACTTAACAAAATCAAAATTTCCTACCTAAAAATTTATCTTTGCAACAACAAAAAATCAACAAGAAAATATTTCTCTGAAACGTAAATAAATTTTTGTTCCGCAATTTCGCAAAAAATGTGACAAAGTGCGAATTGCGCAAATCTTATTTTAATGAAGACGTTAATGAAATCAAGGAATCTTCGGTGAAATCTTATCCGGTGTCTCGATGGCCTGTGATGGTCAATGGACATGCAGATAAGTTCATATCGAGTTCGGTGATTTATGACAGAGGGATATCGAAAGCTGTAATCGCATGCTATGACAAATCTCATGAATGATTTGCGGCAATCTGCCGACAGAATCTGTTCGGCGTTGGAGCCTGTCCAAAATTGATGGTGCGTTCTCGACGAAAATGTAATGCGTGCGTCCGCGCAACGAACGACGACGAGTGCTAGGCGTATCTCGTATATCAAGCCGAGAGACATGATTTAACGATTACGAAGATAATGTATGTGTACGACGACGCAAGAGCGAGTAATTGGCCAGGTAAGCGCGTTAGAATTCGCGCACTAAATCCGTTAGCATGATTTAATGATTGTATTTTTAACACAATTTCCAAATAAACGGAACGCAAATGCAAAAATTATTCGACAATTATTTCGTGTAAAGCCGTTAACCATAAAATAGAATTTTTAACAAAATGACTCAAACTATACAGATTAATAATGTAAATATTTTATATATCGTAAACATAAATTTTTTTAGTTATAGCTAATTATTATTGTTATTGTTATTAATTTTATATCATATAAAATAATACATATATTAACCTACATTATAATCGACAGATTAAATCCCCTGCATTTGAATTTCAAGAATTCAGTTAAATCCTAGACGATCAAAAGACGAACTGTATGGAGAGCAAGGAAAATTCTGTCAAAGAAAATCAATCAGAGTGTGCTATCAACCAAAAAAATGCAACAGAAATTGAACGTTCCTTTGTTGTTGAATCAAAGATTTCTGCGGTTGAATCTACTTCAGAAGAAAAAAAATTCACGAAGAATTCTTTTCGAAAAGAAACGGCGAAAGAGAGTAATGGAATATTAAAGGAGACCGCGTCTGAATCCCATTTTAGAAGAGTCAATGACACCAAGAAAGTGGATAATTCAGATCGGGAACGTGAAAAAGACACGGTGGCGAAAATAACCATCGTCGATCAACTTGACAAGTCGCATTTGCGAGACGAACTTTTATCCGATGAATTCAAACGCGAGATTAAAAATCCGAAAAGAATTGACGACGCAGCGATGACCGGCGGACGTCGGCATCAGCGTCCTTTCCATGATATAATTGGTAAACGGGAGCAACGCAGAGAGGAATTGGAAAAGATGGAGGGAAATTTACGACAACGACTGGACATGCTCGAATGTTCAATGCCGGCGGTGATGGTGTGGAACATCTGGCGGATGTCACAGGGCACGCCCGTCTGCAGAATGAAGCGCATCCTGGAGAAACAACTTAAGGATACAAAAGAACTCGCTTGCCGCAGCACACCAAGCCGACATTACGATTGCCGGGTGCGAGAAGTCGAGGCCGAAAGAAAACTGGCATTAAAAAAGGTGGAGGAAGCGCGGACTCTTTGGTCGGAGAAGCTCGCAAGACTCGAGGAGAGAAAAAAGAAGCTCGAGGAAGCCAGGAAGATTCAAGAAGAGCAGAAAAATGCGATAGAACGATTGAACGAGGAAGTCAAGGCGCTGCGGGAATCGCTGGAGAAGTCGGAAATGGACGGCGAATTTTGCGAACACGGCGAGTGCGGCGACACACGTTGCAAGCGACGGCGAATCGGCAAAGTGTCAAGCGTGACATCCGTGAATTCCGGAGATATCCGGTGCCTTGAAAAGTTACAGCGACTGGCGGAGGAGGAGATGATTATGAAGCGCGACATCATCGAACTAGAACGGCGCGAGGAAGCTTACATGCGGACGCTTCAGCAGGCCGACGAGCTTTGGTCGAAGATGGAGGGCGACACGGTGAGCGTGACGAACGCGTTACAGGAACAATTGGACATGAAAACCGCGGCGAATCAGCAACTGGCGGAGCGCGTGTGTGAGCTAGAGGACGCGCTGGAGAAGTGCCGAACGAGGCTGGCCGCGTGTGCGGCGGAACTCGAAAAGTTCACGAGTGTCGAGAGAGTCGCGGCCACTGTAGGTCGCGACGACGACGTCGCGGAAGTGACAGATAAGGAGGTCGCGGTGCGAGCCAAAGTTTTGCATCGACCGATCGGCCGGGTGGATGACGTAGCTACAGTGAAGGACAAGGAAGTTCTCGCGCGAGTCGAAGTCGCGGACAAGAAAACATGGGCGAAGGCCGAATCCGCGGACGTGGGGATGTTGGCACGGATCGACTCGATCGACGCCGACGCAGAGGTGGCTTTCGTCGGTGATGATAAATACGTCTCGGTTAAACCCGACCTGGTTGATCTCGCCGTTGATCGCTCGGTGGATCTCGCACGAATCGAGGACGCGGAAAGCGCAGTTGAACCGGAAGATTTTGCTTACAAGCAGCAGCAATTCAAAGAAGTTCGGGAATACTTGGCCAAGTTAGGCTCGTTAGAGGAACTCTATAAAGACGACGGCGAACCGTGCCCGCCTGATTTCATATGCAACGATGTAGTATCTTCGCCTATCGGTATAACGGACGAAGAACTGAGTATGTTGGGCGTGGAACTTGCAGCACCGACGAAGGAACCGGAAAAGTTAATTGCGAGTGAGGACGACCGAGACGAACAATTTCGAAAGAAATTAACGAGTGACGTTGATGACATCGGGGTGAAAGAAAAAGAGGCGAATGAAATTCTAGCCATCGAAACCGAAAAGAAAGTTGTAGAGAAAGCAGAAAAAGCAATTATTGAAGTCGAGGATGCACCCGTTAAAGAAATTGTGACGATACGAGAGAAAACTACGGACGATAGATCAGTAACAATGCTGAATGACGTTAGCGCGTTGGAAGTAAAAAAGATCGAAGCTGACCGAGACATCGTAATACAACGGAACACAATTCTGTCGTGGGTTAATACAATCGATGCAATTCGCACGAAAGCAGCGGTACGCAATCTATAGTCAAAATTAAAAAACGTTGCAATCAAATAAATTCACAAAAATTGCTAATAAAGTAAAATATTAACTAATATTAATATTAATACAATATTATAATAAATACAATATTTTTTTCTTAATATTAATATAAATAAAATCTCTATTCTATATTTAGAAACATCCTAACTGTCACGCAGCTAAAAAAGATGCTGATATCTTAGCCGAACAAGTTGGCGCGTATATCGGGGTAAGAGACGTAATATTTTAATTCATTATTCATAAATAATAATTGTAATAATAATAATATAAATAAATATTGTACATGTATAAAGAATTTCAATATTTATCACTAGACAATTAATTGTTAAAAAAATTTGCGAAAAATTAAGGGACATTTTTAACTTGATTATAATCTTCAAATTAAAAAATATTATCATAATTTTAATTGTAATCCACAGATAAAACCTAAAAAGGTAGAAGAGGAAGATGTAACAATAATCACAGAAGAAGATAAGCAAAAGAAAGCAATTGAAAAAAACGAAATAACAGTGACGAATAAAATCGAAACAGAAAACAAACGTGATAATGAAAAAATTGGGTTTTTGCCGGAAGCACGAACAGAATTACCAAAAAATAACACCATTACAAAGATACAAATAGAGCCAATAATATTGTCAAAAATAAGTGCAGAAACAACGGAAGCGGACACTAAGCGAAGGGAAAAGGCAAACGCTGAAGAGGAAATAATTATTAAAACTAAGTTACAAAACGAATCAATATCATTTCCTAAAGAAACAACTTCGGCGGAAAAAGAAGCTTTAATGAAACCAGTAGCTGAATTAGAATCACTGCCTGATCTTCCGAAAGAGGAAATATCAGCTAGCGTGGAACCCCCTACGGCAACTCCAATAGAAGATTCTTTTCAATCTCTTACAATTCCCGTCGAAAAAGATTTGAAAGACGACACGGTCCTGTTGAGCGAACCTATACCGAATAAAATAGGAATCGAAAGAATAGAAGCTGAGAAAGAAACAGAAGTCAATGAAATCGTAGAGATTACAAAAGAAAATGAAACATCTCGAGTTGAAGAAGTAGTAAGAGAAAACGTAATCGGAACTTTTATAGATAAAAAATTAACGGTGGAAAGAGTGGTGAGTGATAAAATAATGAATTCTATAGACAAAGAAAAACCATCGGTTATTCAAAACGCAGAAAGAATAGAAGATGAAATAATATCTGTGCACGTAGAAAAAATTAAAGAAAAAGTAGAGGATATGCCAAAAATACCAGAGGAAAGAAAAGTAGTAATGAAAAAAATAACAGTGGACGAGGTGTTATCAGCGTCAAAAGAAATAGATGAAAGTAAACTTACAAAAGACGCGGTGGAAAAGTTGAAAGAAGCCTCACAACTTGATCAGATTAGAATGACAGACGTAGAAGAAACGACACCACACGTGAAAGTCGCAGAAATGAAAGAAATCGCAGAAACTTTGCCTGTGGCAGAAATAAAAGAAATAAAACGAGTTAATGCAAAGGAAGCAACCGTTGACGCAAGAGAAATAAAAGAATATGTACCAGAAACAATTTCACCGCCGGCGCACTTAACAGAAGTAGAAAAATTCGAATCTAGTGAAGTTTCGATCATGGATGTTGAACAAATACCAACTGCAGACGTAACAGACATGGCGAAAGAAAAAGTTCAAATTGAAGAATCTTTGATCGTGGAGACAAAAGAGGAAAAAGTTGAAGTCGAACAACCACCGGTCCTAAATGCAGTAAGAAAAGAAAAAATTGAGAGCGAGGAACCGACACCATTAACAGATATAATATCGGAAAAACCCGAAATCACAGAATCATTACCGACTACGGACATAGAAAAGGAAAAAACAATTAAAGAGAAACCATTATTAATCGCGGATACAATAATAGAAGAAGAAATTAAGATAAAAGAGCCACCAACAATCGCGGAAGCAGTAACAGAAGAAAGAATTGAAATGATTGAAACAATAACAGAACCATCGCTAATAATAACAAAAAAAACAGAAATCGAAGTGACAGAACCCGTGCTAGAAATAGAAAAAGAAAACATGAAAAATTATAGAAATACCGGAAAAATTACACCGCCTATCGAAATACGCAAAGAAAGAAAAGAGGAAGAAGAAATACCACGAATAGAGAAAGAAAACATGTTAGAGGAAGTTGCGCTGCTGTCCGTAGAATTGATGGTAGAAGACAAAAAGGAAGAAACGCCGATGATAGTAATAGAGAAAAAGCCAGAAATCGAAGTAGAAGAAAGAATTCCAATCATTGAAATAAAATCGGCCGAAGAAGAGATGTCAACGATACCAATTGATTTTCGATTAGCGGCACAGCCGTACTTCGTTATAGCAAAGATCGAAGAAAGAGAACTATTGCAAATTATACCTGCGATAAAACCGCTTCGTGTAAGTTGTTCGATTAGTAAAAGTTATATACATTGCAATTAAATTTTTTTAAACAATATAATTAATATATAACATATATAAGATATTCTAACATTACTCACAAATACCTATATGTGACATTCGGTGACATTCTATTGTCATACATATATATATATATGTATATACATATATATATATTAGCACCGAATGATCAACATTTTGAATGTTTCTTTCACTTGCAGCGACCACCAGTCGGAACCGCAAAGCCGACCGAGGCTACGCGAACCGACGTCGTTCAAACTGAGATCGTGCAATCCGAAATCGTGCAAACCGAGATCGCGCCAGCTGAGGTCGCCCAAACCAAATTCGTGCAAATAACCGCGCAAACGATTTCAACTAGCGAAGCGCCTCGCACGCCGCCGATACAAATTCTTAGCGAATATTTAAAACCAGCCGAGCTAAAAGCGTCGAGCACCGAATTCGCCGGCGACCATCCTGAAATAACCGGCCGAAAAATGCTCTGGCGCAAACGCTTAAAGGACCAATCGACCGTCACGACCGCCAGCATCGAGGCACAGACGGATAAAACGAGCCACGTTAGCCACGACCGAGTTGTAAGGGATGAAAGAGAACGCGCGAGAGTGCCCACGGATGAACTTTTACGATCTATAAAGATTGCCGCCGCCGGGCTAACGCGCCCGGACATAAAGCGCGAGATTAGGACGATTAATTATGGCGGGCGGTCCGAGGAAAAAGAGACCTGCAACTGTTGCTTGTGCGGCGAAATCCCGTCCTCATCGTCGACAAGACCGAGATTAGAAGTTCCGCCGCAGATTGATGTGAAAATTGCAACGCCTCCGGCGACGGCTGCGTGCAAGTGTGTATTTCCTCTCTCTAAAATCGATCGTTCGATATGGCACGACAAATTGTGTCCCGATTGCAAAACGAAAATCCAGGACAAGATGTCGCGTGAGAAGCATCACATCGGGAAAATCATTAAAAAGATGTCACGCGATCCGGAAAGCTGCGGCTGCGCGTCATTGATTGACAAATCGTGTCGTGCAGTTTCCCGAAAAAAAGCGATCGAGAAGAAAGATCAGAGTTGTTTAGCCAAAA